CGGGTCAAGCTCAAGCTCCGCTCACCGCATCGGAAACCCGCAGGTCAGCTCGAGCAATATATGCAAATGCTGCCGCAGCGGCGCATTCAGCAGCAGTTTACCAACCTCCACCATCCCCCAGACCTTGAGAGTATCTGGATATGTGAGTTTTGTGAGTATGAAAGCATATTCGGCCATCCTCCCGAGGCGCTTATCCGGCAATACGAGATAAAGGACCGCAAGGAGCGTAGACGGTTAGCCGAGAAGCGCCGTTTACTTGAAAAGGCCAAGATGAAGGGTCGAAAGGGGAAGAAGGGAAACAAGAATGCCGCAAAACATCAGAACGCTGCCGCAGTTCATGGCCAGGGACACGCTCAGACTCAGGGTCAGGGTCAAGGCCATGTTGATCGAGCGCCTCCTCACCCCAATGATCAGAATATTCCACCCGACCTTGAAGAGTATGATGAAGATTATGAAGATGATGGGCATGAAGACATTCCTACGGATGCAGCTCCTCGCATTCCGCCTTCAATTCCAAAGCACCATCACCCTCCTTCTCCACCAAATTCGATGAAAGATAGTATTAATGTTGGTGGTACTGGCGGACATGCAGGCAAGGCGTCAGCTTTGGCAGCTGCCGGAGGAGGAGGCGGAGGTTCTGGCCGAGCGGGTTGACGGTTAATGCTCCCCGAATTTCTGGCTCGGTATAGTTCCCCTAGTTCCCCCCCAACCCTTCTCTTTTATGCCTCTCTCCTCTCCCTGTTACTCTTTCTGTATGTCTTCATCTCCCCCTTTCATTTTCTTCCCGAGTTCATGTCTTGATGCATCCCTTACCACCATATTCATGATGCACCTCCTGGCTTTTTAATATTTTATTACCCCTTATCCTATATCCATATCTCCCTATCCCCAAATTTCCCTATTAACCCCCCCTCCATTAACAGATCAACAGATACGATCATCATGTCGATACGTTTACATCCCATTTCCCCTTCTTCCCCCATTGTTTCGAATCAATTACATCCTATCATGACGTCCCCACTCTATCCTTACCTTTACCTCATAACTATATGCCCCCCTACCCGCTTTCCTTACCTCTTGCCTCGCTTTTTTGGAAGCGTACTACGCTATGCATGTGACCTGCATGATATGGCGCTCTTGGAAGCGTTGATCCATTGTTTTTGAGAATTATGATTATCATCCTGTCTGTCAGCGGGACGGCCAGGGCGCGGTGGTTTGCAGAGAAAGGAGAACCTTATCCGCTGTTCGGTACCTGCAGCTTTGTATCACGCCATACCATGTTACTCCGCTACGGCCTTGGTGAGTTGAATAGTTCGTCTCGGGCTATGTTGATGAAGCCTGAGAGCTACTGTCTGGCGGCAGTTGAGTTGAGAGTTTGTGCTGCTGGTGTTGAGATCGCAGTTTGATGGATGCTAGCAGCGTCTATCTACAAATACACATTACACTACATGATGGAAGATAGTAACCAAAAAATATCAATAAAACACAATACTTCTTCCATGGCCAGCCTCCCTCTCCGTAGCTCATCTTCCACACTCTTGTCCATCCTGAAACGCCCCAAGTGGACACGGCGCTTAGAGCAACAGTTCTTCACTCTAGCCGCCGCAGCGGGTTTGTACGTTAAATTTAGAACGGCAGCATTAAAAGTTTTCAACCATGTCTATAGTAAACCAAAATATATCGTCTCTCACACCTTACTGGCCATGGTCTCGTACCTGGGCGCTAAATGAAGCTGGCGCTTAACCAGCTTGCTTCCCCTTAAACACAGACAAGATCGACTCCCATCCAATCCATCTTCCTCCTTCGAGCGAACTTCCAACTTGCTCTAGCCCGTGGAAACCTAGAATACCTCGAAGGCAGCTCCATAGTGAAACTCCCGCCATGTCGTTTCATGGTCTCTGCCTTGTATCTGATTCGAGCATGGAGATTATACCACCGCCCCCCTGAGATACCGTTCCCGGGCGGCACTTTGATGCTATCTTTGACCTATGGTCGTGTAGATGGAAGACATATCGCAGCATAGGACAGGACAGGGCATGAAGGAGGATATGTACATATAAAGCGTCCGCTGTCCTCGATATCAAATTCTCCTTTCCTCCTATTCAGCATTAATCAACCAGGACATCCCAATTCACCGGCCTTCCCCCCTTTTCTTTTCCTTTCTATTTTCTCTTTCTTTTCCTTGTATTCTCTCCCTCTCTTCTTTCATTCATCTATTGTTCATCCTCTATTCATTCAACCTGCTGTGTTGTCTATTTATTCCTTCACTTCATCAATCAATCAATCCACCAGTGGTGCAGCGCACTGCTTCCCCCCCACATATATATTCATTACATACGAATCCTGCTTCTGTGAAGCCAGCACATATCGACTTAATATCGAACCTTTCCTTGCCTTTATTTATTCGCTATAAGCCCTCCAGAGAGCAGTTATAACCAGTGTATAACCTGCCGTTTCTCCTCTGCCTCGATACAATACATCTACACCCCAACCAACCAACCAACCGACGCAAGATATCAACATGTTCGTTGCCGGACTACTCCTCAAGGGCATCAAGAGCCGCTATTCTACTGGATCCCTCATCGGTACACTGTTTGAATGCTGTATTCGATTCTTGCAGTTTGTCTTTGGCATCGCCGTCATCGGCCTGTATGCGCAAGACGTCGACCGGGCCCGAAAACATGGTGACACCCAAGACTCACGATGGGTTCGTGCTTCTTCTTATCCTTCTGGATGGATTTAACACCATATTCTAACGGTTCTATAGATATATGCAACCGTCGTTGGCACACTATCCGCCATCTCAGGGCTTGTCTACATCCTTGTCCCATGCGCCGTCCGACGACCCCTATCTCAAGCAACTTTCATCCACCTACCATGCTTCGTCTACGACAGCGTCCTAGTCATCCTCTGGCTGACGCAGTTCGGCATTTTCGCAAAGCTGTACATCACTGTCGACGATGACAAAGACAAGAGTCTCAAGCGCATGAAGCACTCTGCCTACGTCGATTTGGTCAACTTGTGCTTCTGGGCCATCACCTGTGCTTGGTGCGGTATCCGCTGGTGGAGAGGAAACAAGGCCGGCGGCGTCCAGAAAGACGAGAAGGCCTTTGATGAAGAGCATATCGAGCATGTTTAGCTGTCTGCCCGTCTGTCTGCTTGCATTTGAAGGAGAATTCCTTCCAACACTCGTTTGGGGATGTACCAGTTCTCCCTTGCACGACACGGGGTATTCCTTCTTTTATCTCCAAGATTCTTCTTCATCTTGTTCTGTTTTTTTCCTGTCCCTGATACTTTTCTCTTTCTCTTTTGTTTCTTTCTGCATCTTATCGGCGCTCAAGGTGTCTGTCTATGAATTTACATAGCATAAGCGAGAGTGAGAAGACGTAAAACTTGCATTTTTTTCCGATATCGAGTCCAAACCCATGGGTATACAAAAGATAAAAGGCAAAAGGAAACAGAAAGAAAAGAAAAGAAGGTCCACCAGTTGGATTAACCCCCGACCAAACAGAACTGCTCATTTCTTCATTCAATACGTTAGTTATCCATAAACTACCCGAACGTATCTGCATTCATCATGCTATGCCTCCTTCCCTCGCTGCCAAAGAGGAATGCAGATCTATCTATCCATATTCCGGTGATTATGTATTCATATCTCGTTGCCAATGGGGCTAGGGAATGGGTAACAAGACGTTCGTATAAGTACAAATGGGTCAAAAAAGTGGAAGCGCAATGGTGGGTGGTGGGTGGGTGGTTAGTTGGTTGATAGGAGGGATATAGAACAAAATAGCTGGATCGATTATTTTTTGGATCGCCTGTTCGATGAACTGGCATTGGTGGGTGATGGTGCGTTTGGCGCTGTTGATGCTCTCGTAGGAGACGGCCGATTATTACTATTATCATTACCAGCGGTAGAGTGAGTGGAAGAAGTGGAGGGTGTGGGCGAATGCTTTGATTTTGGTTTCGGATTCTTTGAGGAAGAAGAAGAGGTCGAGGAACGATTGGGACTAGGGTCTGATCCAGGCTGGGAGCTGTCTATCAGGTTGGTGAGGGAAGAAACGCGGTGATACTGCTCTTTCACTTTGACTTGCTCCTTGACAAAGCGGGAGCGGAAACCCTTTTCAACTAGGGAGGCAGTGGATGGCTGCTCTGATGGTGGTCTGTCTTCTATGACTACAGGCGAGTTTGCGAGATACTCTTCCAGCATCATTTTATCTCCAGCGGTAATGGTTGATGCCATCCTTATGTTTGCTGTCAAGTTACCCTCCTGAGGTGTGTATGAACCTCTCTGTTGAGGCTGTGAGGAGGATTGGGTTGCAAACGGAGACCTAAACTGGGGCCTTTTAGACAGGCTGGAAGCTGCAGGGTTGTTTGGCCGTGAATTAGGGGCTGAAGAACGGAGCCAATGTCAATATTACATCCATTTCTAGTGGGTGCCAGGTTGAATGCTTACATTGAGCGGGGCTGTCGTCGAATGGACCCCTAAACTTGGACGGAGGAGACTGAGGCCGAGGCTCGGCAGGACTATCGAGAGTCCGCGTGGGGAAAGGCCGGTTGATCTTTCGTGGAAGAGAACCTGGCTCCATCTCCTGTGAGCAAGTAAGATTGCTGGCAAAAGTGGTCTTCTTTCTCCTGATCGAGCCAGAGCGTGACCGGTCAGACTGTTGGTAGAGACTGTCTCCGGAATATGATGCAGTGACGCCTGCCCTGGAGGGCGAGTCAGGCAGCTGTTCGTCCGAGGGCGGCCGTGGCTTCTTAAGGATGGATGGTGGAAGGTGAGTTTTCACACTGCTGCCGGAAGGAGTGAGCCTGGAGCTATTACTCCTGCTTGGCCCCTGAAAGGAGGATGATTTGGGCAGCGAATTGTCAACGTAAAATCCGTGAGGAATGGCTTTTGGTTTAAGCCCGGCAAGCTAGATTCAGTAAGTTAGCTTCTGCCGGCAGCTTCCGGGAACAATTGAAAGAGTATTGCTCTCAGTCGTTTACCTCTCTTTCCTTCCTGAGCCACTCTTCGGTAGTGAACTCTCCTTCTGAGATCTGGATAAAGAGTGAGGCCAGGGTGTATCCACGTATGGTGCAGCTTATCCGTCCATTACTCCATATTCTCCAAAACAGGTTCTCCAGTCGTCTGCCGGCATCTTTCTCCAGGGTGGTCTTGTTCGTCGTATAGACTAAAGACCGGGGTCAACAGTGCCAAAAACTAAAGGGCGAACAACTAGTTGCTCAGGTGAACAAAGGGCAAGGAACAAAGAAAGAGCCTCACCTCTCCACAGCCTGGCCACATCCTCAACCTCGACGTGAGAGTCATGGTTGAGCTCCGAGCGGATGCTGTGGGTGTTGAAGACGATGCCGTGGGGGAGAGCTTCCGTCATGGTCCAGCTGCCCACGAGACAACGTAGATGTGCGAGGTACGGCTCGACTACACCGCCAGCATACGGATATCAACTCGGTACGTAGGTACAGCCAAGCGCAGAGGAAAAACAGGACGGCCACCGGTGGTATATATGTCGATATCTTGGCCCTCTCGTGTCCTTCCTCTTTTGCTCAAGACCTGGCAGCCTGGTATAGTATGCGGTGTGCAGGGTTAAGCTCAACGGGCGCGCATGATCAACATGGCGCGGGTTGACGGCAGCCAACGGAGCGCGAAGGGGTATTTAGCCTCTCGGTTCGCTGTTCCTGGGGATGGAGGATGGGCTAATGCAGGGAAGCTGGCGTATGAGCAGAGGAAAAGAAGCTGAGGTGAGGCGGACGGGAGGTTGCGAGAGGGAAGACGTGGAGGCCGTGGATGGAGAGAGCGGGCGATAAGTTATAGAAAAAGAGGCGCGGACGGGGCAGGTCGGCTGCCGCAGCACGTGAAGTGTCCGGATGACCTGCGGGTCCGCGATAAGTCAAGTTGAAGAGATGAAGCTGGAGAAGCTGCGTTTTATGGCTGGCGGTGCTGGCGACGGCGACGGCGATGTTGGTGATATTAAAGGCAGGGCAGGAGACAGTCGCTATAGAAACAAGATGTAGTTGACGAGGTGACGTTGGGATGTCCCGATTGGGATGGACTCGACAGCTTCTTTTGACGACGTCGGTCGAACGTCAACTTCATTCAACTTCAACCTTCAACTTCAAATCAACAACAACGACAGCAGCAACAGCAACAGCAACAACGAAGAACAAGCTATATACAGCTACAGACACGGACGGGACATCCCATTAAGACGAAGCAGCAGCAACAGACGAGTCGAAAGGGATAAAAAACGGCCAAGGTCATGTGCCGTGCAGAAAAAGCTGGGCCTTTACTTTGACTAGCTAGCTGGAGTCTCGATATCCAGCGGCGACGTGACGGAAGAATCCATGCAATGCAGGACGAGGCCAGGAAGGTCGAGCAGGTCCAGGGTGAGCCCGGGCAGAGAGCTGCAGGACGAGAGAGACGCAGACAGGGGCAGCCAGCCCAAAGGAGAACTTCCAGCCTCCAGGTTTCAGCCTGAAGCGAGTTTGTGATCGAGACTTTGATTCCAAGTCGTCCGTCAGCTGCGGATGTTTTCTTTTTTCCTCCCCCTCCTCCAGGCATTGCAGGACTTCGAGATGGTGTCCAGTCCTGCAACCGTGGTATCTCGCCTGTTCGATGCATGTACGATGTACGGAGTACAGCGGACTGCAGACTCGCTCTCGTATCAGCGGCTTTATCTCCATTATGATTCTAGTGTCCGCTGGCCCAGACTGGAATGTCATATACGGGATGCATACCAGACATGGTACATATGTCTGTACGGAGTACTTAGTAAATCCATCCGGATATGGAGGGAGCAAGGATATCGGCTAATGGCCAGAGGTGGCATTATTGGTTCATTTATTAAAAAGTACTCCGTAAGAGAATAAGATCTAACTAACTAACGGAAACTAGCCAGCCAACCGGGGAATAGGGAAACAGACAGAGGAAGCACGGAAGCTTTTGTCTCTTTAGGTAACGGTATATCCGCCGTCGACACGCAGGTCCGCACCGGTAACGTACTTGCTAGCGTCACTGGTAAGGAAGACGACGGCACCCATCAGATCCTCCGGCACACCCATCTTGCCTTGGGGAATCAGCGACGTCCATTTCTGGTTGAGGTCTGGGTTATCATCAAGGATTTTTCGTGTCCTATCCACGCCGGGCCCCCCTTGTTAGTATCATAGATAAAATGATGCAATATATACTTCAGCACCAGAGTAGACTTACAATGCGGTCAGCATGTATCCTGGGCTGATACAGTTAACCCTGATACCAGCCCCCGCCCATTCGACAGCCAGTGAGGCAGCCAGGTGCCGGATCGCCGCCTTTGCAGCATTATACGGTGCCTGAGGCTGTGGAACATTCACAATCGAGCCGGACATGCTTCCTATCAGCACCATGCTGCCGGGAGCCTTACGTTCCATCAGATGCTTGGCCACCTCAACAGCAAACAAGTATGAGCCGTCAACGTTGACTTTCCATAGCTTTTGGATGCGGTCGTAAGGGTAGCTGATGGCGTCGAAGTTCTCGGTAAAGCCAGCCGAAGTGACCAGGTGATCTATCTTGCTATGCTCTGAAAGGATCTGGGCAATGCTGGCGTTGACGGACTCAGGATCGCCCACGTCCGCATAGTGAGCTGTGATTTTGGGTAGGCTGTTGTTATCCCGTCAGCTTCGTCATAGATTGGGACTGTCCATGTGGTGATTCTACTGACTGATCAAGACCTGGGTTCTCCTTTTGAAACTGCTCCAGTAGCTTCTTTGCCTGGATCTCTGCCTCCTGTTCTATACAGCAGTTAGCTAAAGTCACACACACATCAATCATTTTTTTCGTGGTCGTTGAACCAACGTACTGTTCAAATCGACAATGGCAAGATCTGAGCCGGATGCGACCAATGCTTGGCCCATAACCAGTCCCAATCCACGCGCACCCCCAGTGATCACGGATACTCGGCCCTCGAGCGAGAATGAGGCCAGCGTCCGCTTGAAATGTCGACCTCCCCTGCCCTGCACGATAGGCGTCTGCGGCATCTCATCGTCCGGAGGGTACTCAACTCTCACGCTATCATCTGTTCGAGCCAAACCACCCTCTGCATCGATAGCTGCTGCAGGAACCTTCTCGTTATCTTTGTATAAAGCGGCAGAAGATGAAATGTTTCTCCTGTAAGCCGATTGCTGTGCCCTGAATCGTCCTGCAGTAGCGGCAGCCGACTGTGCCCTGACGGCCGATGATGGGCCACAGGCGGCCCGAAGCAAGCTGCTCCTCGCAGATAGCCTGAACATGGTTCTCTCCCTCTGTGTGCTTATCTGCTATCGCTTTCGATGATGGCTAGATGGTCGTTGGGTAGTCGATGCTACAGTCACCACTGTTGGTCGAGATTTATGGCCTGTTTGCAGACGTCATGCCAATTAGTAACTCAGCGGAGCTTGTACAGCTTGTATCGAGCAAAAACAGGTCGCATACCTTGTCCCGTAACAATTCACCGCCCAGGTGGCCAATGGATAATCAACTTCAATCAGTGACCTTGGTTGCGTTCACCAAGACGGCCGCCGCAGCAAGTTGGACTGGGAAGAGATGTTATAGAAGTAGGAGTAGCAGCAGGAGCAGAAGAGGTAGAAGTGAGAGAGGATGAAGGTCACGAAATGAAATCTCTTCCCAGCCGAGCCCGAGGGCAAGAAATATGGGACCTTTCTTCCATTGCTGATCCACCGAAATGTCACTTGAGCATCTGTTACTACTAGCTAAGAAAGCACAGCATGACCGCGGGCAGAAAGGGGTGATAAGCGATGGAAGGGTGGGAGAGCTTCGGGCGCGCCTTTTTTTAGCTGCCATCCTACGCAAGGCTTTAACTGGAGCTTTAACTGGTTTTAACTAGCATTAACTGGGGTTTAACTGGAGCTCGGCCAGGGGTTTCCCTTGGTAGGTGGAGTCGCCGGTGGCGGCGGTCGGGCTTCCAGAAGGGCAAGATTCTCTCTTTTCTTATTCGTTAAATTTTGACCAGGTATATTTTTACGTGTTGTGTTTCATTTTTATTGTTGATTTCTATCGTTCTAGATCTGGTGTTGTTGATGGTGTTCTGAGGTTTTATATATACAGCAAGGGGGGCAGGTCTCTCCAGGACGCTCTTCTCTCCTCGAATGGTTGCCAAAAAGAAGAGAGAAACAGTTCGAGAAAATGCGTAAACAAACAATAAAAAGGAGTCGTCATCGTATCATCCATTATGTATAACCCCCTTGAAACAAGAATGCCGCAATGTGAAAATATATTGAATAATTGGGTGGGAGGGATATCGACTTCTCCAGCGCACCGATGAGCTGCTAAGAAAAGCCATCGTGGCCTGAAAGAGACGTTGGTTTGCTATGTTTCTGTTGTCCCGGGACGATCAATAAGAAGGGGAAGGAGGTGGAGATGCTTTCGTTGCTTCTTACATACTCCGAACGGGCGAGAAAATGCCGGCCAAACAGGGTGATCGGAGCCCATGGTGGGTAACTTCGTTGCGAGATTTGATAATTCCAACGCTAAGATGAGAGAACAGACATTGGATTTGTCTACTCTTTCTTTCTTTCTTTTCTTTCTTCTCAATTCATCAGCAAAGATGCCAATCACTTGACCGTCTTTGATAGCCCTGGTGAAGGCCGAAAATCGGCGCCTCCCTTTACGACTCCGGGGCTTCCGGCTCGGCAGCGAACTCGACCAGCGCTGTGCCAGCCTTGCAAATGTCCTAGAATAAATCACATCGTTGGTCAGCCATCGCCTTCTAGACCTTTGCTATCAGTCGTTGTGTTATGCGAATTTTCAGACTTACCCCTTGTTTATGCACGATCTTCTCCACCACACCCTTGATTGGACTTCTGATAACCGTTTCCATCTTCATACTCTCAATCACAACAAGAGGCTGGTCCTTCTCCACTACCGCACCTTCGGCTACTTCGACACGTAGGATCTTGCATGGCATGGGAGCTAGGACGCTGTTGGTCAATTCTTTAATACCTAGCGCCTTCTCCATCCACTTGGCTCGGGGAACCTTGAGTCTGTACTGTCGTCCGTGCTGGAAGGCAGTGATGCTGTCTTCATCACGGATCACGGTGGTGTCAAGACGGGTATGGGGGAAGAAAGAGGTAAGAGCCTTGCCATCGGCGGAAAGGGTGGCAGTAACATTGCTAAATGTCTTCTCGTTGTTGATGGTCACATCGTAGCTTGATGGGCCAGTCTGATAGATTTGAACGGTAGCTGGAGTGGCCTCAGGGGTATTGGGGGCTGTTGCTTCGACAAAGGTGAACTGGCGTTGCTGGTAGCCTGGGCTGAAGCCAACTCCTGTACCGGTATTTCCAACAGGGTTGCTAGGGCTGGTTCCCGAGATAAAGGTTGAGAGAGCTACCTGAGCCCAGAGCTCTGGCTCAACCGGTTCCTTAGCGAACAGCTCCTCACGATGCTTCTCGATGTAGCCAGTCTCGACTTCTCCGGCGATAAAGTCGGGGCTCTTGCAGACACGCTTGAGGAACTCGATATTGGTGATCGGGCCGGCAACTTCGTACTGTTCAAGGGCCATGGAAAGGTTGCGCAGAGCCTCGGTACGGTCTGCGCCCCGGACGATGAGTTTTGAGATCATGGGGTCGTAGTGTGAAGAAACTTCGTCACCGGCAACGAAACCGGCATCGATACGCACGTCCTCGGTGGGCTGTGGAGTACGGACGTGGATCAGCTTACCGGAGTCCGGCACGAAGTTCTGTTCTGGGTTCTCAGCGTAGATTCGGGCTTCGATAGCATGACCCATGGTAGCCATCTTGGCCTCGACCTCCTCCTGGGTGAGAGGGAGAGGCTTTCCCTCTGCTACAAGTAGCTGCCAGTGAACAAGATCCTGTCCAGTAACCATCTCGGTAACTGGATGCTCAACCTGCAATCGAGTGTTCATCTCCATGAAGAAGAACTCGCCGGTGTCGTTGTCGAAAATGAACTCAACGGTACCAGCGCCTTCATAACCGACAGCCAATGCGGCATCTCTCGCCTTGGCCCAAAGGTCCTTTCTTGTAGCCTCTGGCAGATGTGGTGCCGGCGACTCCTCGAGGACCTTCTGGTGACGACGCTGGACACTACAGTCTCTCTCCCCCAAGGCAACTGAGTTTCCGTGCTGGTCTGCGAACACCTGGACTTCGATATGGCGTGGGGTGGTGATGTACTTCTCAATAAGCATGTTATCGTCACCAAAGGAGCTCTTGGCCTCAGATTTGGCGGATCTGAGCTGGTCCTGGAATTCTGCAGCAGTGCGAGCAATACGCATGCCCTTTCCACCACCACCCTTGACGGCCTTGATGAGGACAGGGTATTTGATCTTCTCGGCCTCAGCAGCGAGGAAGTTGACGTCTTGGTTTGTGCCGTGGTATCCGGGGACGCAGGGCACGCCGGCAGCAGTCATAATCTCCTTTGAGCGGCTATTATAATGATGTTAGTATAAACTGATGATTGTTTTCAACAACAACAACCACCAACGCTCACCTCTTGTCACCCATGGCGTCAATGGCCGAAGGTGGTGGTCCAATGAAGATAAGACCGGCATCTGTACACTTCTTTGCGAAGCCAGCATTTTCACTCAACTGTATCCTGTTAGCATCTATTATCCTGCTCACAAGCAACAAGGCGGCTATAACAACGTACAAATCCGTAGCCAGGATGTATTCCCTTGCATCCCTCCCGTTTAGCAATCTCAATTATTCGATCTCCATCCAGGTAAGCAGAGGTCTCGCCCAGATTATAGGCAAACGGCGAGCTCAATGCATGCTGAGCATGGGCGTCAGGGTCTGTGTACAGGGTTGTTACGCGGATGCCATGCTGTCCAGCTGTCCTTCCCACTCGTCTGCAGCAACAAATCGTTCATTAGCAAACAAACAGCTTAATCCGGTTGAAATTGGCACCGAGGAAGCATTTCTTACAGCGCAATCTCTCCTCTGTTGGCAATAAGGATCGAATTGAGCGAGGTGGTACCCTTGCCGGTAGCTGTCGAAGAGCTATGACGGAGGGAGGAAGCAGCGAAGATGGCGCGCTGGGGGATGCGCGAGGCAGAGGCGCGCAGAAGAAACGACATGATGGACGAAGTTGAAGCTGGTCGACTAGAAGCCCAACACCATGTCCAGTTCAATTTGATTCGAAGAAGAGGGTTTTGTCTTTTCTGATATCAACACAGGAAGAAAAATGAAGCCGCGCGAGTTTCCTAGTTCGGCAATTCTTGGGTGGGCGCCGATGGAAAGCGGGCGGTCGGCGGCCGGTCCCGGTATTTACGCTGTATTTACGTATCGGAAGGGGTGCCGGGGTCACGGGACTCTCGGGCTACCTTCCTTCTGGGTTATTTCACGTGACTTGGTACCTATTACGTCATACAGCAAAAAAGCTGGATCTTTTTTTTTCTTTTTGAACTTTTTTTTTTAATTTAGGCTGACGAGTATCAAAGTGACCTACATAGAGAAAACACGCTCGTTAGGAGAGAGAGAGAGGAGATTCAATGGATTGCAGGTAGCTGGACTTATCTGCTGAGGAAGGAGTGTGCTTGGTTTGCCTGATTGGGGAATTTTGGGCATTCTTTCGCTCTTTCGGTGTTTGGTGGTAAGAAGCTGCAAGCGCCGCAGCTTGTCGATTGATCACCTCCGGTTGATACCCGAGACTTGAAGCTGGATAAGATACCTATTTTATACAGGCGATTTACCATCAGATTGTTTAAAATACGTCATTAATACTGCATAAAGGCATTGCGGTCTCCCGCGCCTGAAACTGATAAATCACCATGTCCGACTCTGAAGACTACGACGAGTTCATGGGAGAGGATTATCTTTGGATAGACTGTGGAGAACCTCATTATACCGTAAGTATGAGGCTATTTCCCTGGGAACTTAGAAGTTGGCCGCTAAAGAATTGAGTGGTAGGATGACCTGGCTATGCTGGTAAACCCGGACCCGGTCTTCCTGGATGACGGCGCTTTCGAGGCCGCGCTAGACAGTGATACAGACTGGGAATATCTTTCGGATGAGTACTATGACCATGATAGACCTCAGAAACCCCGCCGTCGAAAGGAGGAAGGTGACAGCAAGAAGCCAACTCAGTCTGACACGGCCATGTATTACGGCGTGTCGTGGTCCGCTGGTCCGCGGGGAAATAATGATGGACCACTGTATAAACCTGGAGAGGGAGAGAAGGTGTCTCTCCTCAAGAACTGGCGTGAAATCTTCCAAGAGTCGAAGCCAAAGACGAAAAATATAAATGAAAAACTAAAGCATGACGGAACTATCAAGGAAACGTTCCGTGACCAATTATCGACAAGATTTCGCCGTGATAGTGAAAATCGGGCACGGTTAAACTATAAATACAACATTGGGAGTGGTATGGAAGCTGATGGACTGGTTCATACAGGCCATGGTCCAAAGACCTTACTCTCCCAAAGAGGCAACTTTGATAGTGAAGGCGTGCCCGCAAAGCCTGCGAAGAAGCGGCATGAAGACTCACAACCTAAGAGAGCCTCGAATGCGCCCGAAGCAGTGAAGGTTACCCGAAAATTTGACATCATACTTCCTCCTGCGCCTAAGAATATCACAGAATACAAAGAGATTGTTACTACTGTTGCCCCAAATGCGCCGAAGCGAGGGCGGAAGAGAAAAGCGGAGGTGGTCGCTGAGCAGATCACCCATGACCCTGACCCTAGTTCAAACCCCGGTCCCGTAACGAACTCGAAGCGTAAGAAGGCTGGTCATACAAATGGCGCGAAAACAGCAACATCATCTCGGCCTACGCGATCATCAACACGGCGGAAGTAGTTGTTCGGAATCCTACTTTGTTCCTTTTAGCTAAACCCTTCTAAGCTGCTATACTATTGTGTACTATCTTTACATAGTCGAGTCTGTTTTTAATCTGCGCTGTAACCATCCCATTATCCAGGGTATATACAATCCATCCTATAAATTAGGCAAACTCCTTGTTGAACGCTCTTCCAATAACCATTCGTCTAATTTCGCTGGTACCAGCACCAATCTCGTACAACTTTGCATCCCGGAGAAGTCGTCCAGCTGGGATCTCGTTGATATATCCGTTGCCGCCCATGAGCTGGATGGCATCAAGAGTGCATTCAGTAGCACGCTCAGCAGCGTACAAGATGGCACCGGCACAGTCCTGTGTCTTGACCTGGGTTCCGTCGGAGGAAACGGCAGACTGGTCAACATGTCGGGCAGTATTATAGGTGAAGGCTCGGGAGGCAGCGAGCTTGGTGTACATATCAGCAAGCTTTCCTTGGATAAGCTGGTTGTGCGCAATTGGCATGCCGAATTGGGTACGAGTGTGGGTGTATGGAAGAACAAGGTCGAGACAAGCTTGCATGATACTAGGGAAGTTAATTAGTCTTAATTGTTTGAACTTCGTGCGTATACGAAATATATCTTACCCAAGTGGTCCGGCGCTAAGAACAAGACGCTCAAGGTCAAGTCCCTCCATCAAAACTCTGACACCCTTGTTGAGCTTGCCTAGAACGTTGGCGTGTGGGACGAAGACATCCTCAAAGATGAGTTCACCAGTGTTGGATCCACGCATTCCGAGCTTGTCGAGCTTGCGGGCACATGAGAAGCCCTTGAAGTCCTTCTCGACAACAAAGGCGGTGATACCCTTTGAGCCAGCATCGGGTTCGGTTTTGGCGTACACGACGATGAAGTCAGCGTCGGGGCCCTTGATCTTCCTGTTAGCCAAAGAAATTTAATGTTTCTGTAGAACCAGTCCAAAACCTACATTGGTGATCCACATCTTGGTACCATTGAGGACAAATCCACCGTCAACAGCCTTAGCCTTGGTCTTCATGCTCACAACATCGGAACCAGCAGAGTGTTCGGACATGGCGAGCGCTCCGATCTTCTCTCCGGAGATAAGACCCGGCAGGAAGCGCTCTTTCTGTTCGGGAGATCCATTGAGGCAGAGCTGGTTAACGCAAAGCTGTGAGTGAGCAGCGTATGAAAGAGCAATGCTTCCTAGACGACGTTAGGGCTTTTATTATCATAGTAAACAGATGGGTGCCTACCTGAAGCACGGCTAAGTTCTTCCATCACGATGCAGTGCGCCTGGTAGCCCATCCCAAGACCGCCATATTTTTCGTCCGCGGTGACACCCAAGAAACTTTATATAACCGTTAGCTGTCAATTATATTGCGCATTGAGGGACAGTGTGGTAGGTACCCAGCTTCGCCAAACTTCTTCCACATCTCGGCAGGGAACTGATTCTCCTGGTCTGTCCTGGCGGCGACCTCCTCTGGAATCTCTCGCTCTAAACACCGTCAGCATTGCCCTCCGCATGCTAGCAATTGCCCGTGTTACACATACTGGCAAACTCCCGAACTGTATCCCGAAGCTCGGTCAGCTCATCTTCGGTCGGAGGAGTGAAACCCTGGGGATGTTTCGTGGAGGCTGCTCGCCATGCCGCAACAGGTACAAACTGCCTCCGGGCGGCCAAGGTAGCTCTGGAGGCGGAACGGCCGAGGAAACGAGGAAGAATAGGTGATGCCATGGTGATAGATGTCTTGATACAGGCGAGGACAGAGAAACACGCAGTAAAGACAAGGACAAAGCAGAAATACCAACTCCCGACGGCGACGACGAAGCGAGAAAAAGATGAAGTTACAAGCTGCCTCTTTCGGTGCCTCGGCTGACCTTCCCTTTCGGCGTGGCGGGCGCGGCTTGCGGCGGCAATACCGCCCGGTAACGCCAATACGCGCGTGGGGCTCTTTCGGCTAACCTCCCCTTCCAGCTCTATTTTTCCGGCGTCAAAACGACCCGATGAGGAAATCTTTTCGACGTCGCGATATCAAAACGAAACATCCAGCGAGAAATCGACGAGACGAGGAGGGTGACAACGCAGAATTGAGACCTGGAGTGCTGAGAATGATAGTAGGATAGGCTGAGGACTCTTCAATCTCTTGTTTACAACTACATCTCAGTGCAATTGGAGCTTCATTGTTGACATACCATGGCTCTCCGCGCCCCCTCTGCCGGCCTTCTGCATAGCATGCGATGCGCCCTCAACCAGCAGCTCCCTCGACGGGCAGCAATCACACTGAAGCCAGGCTCCAGCTACCGGGTCAGGAGCGTTGCCAGCTTCACGCATGCTCACCAGGCGTCTGCCATCTCCGTTCTGCCTACCACCGTCGATACCTCGTCCGCAGACTTCCAGGAGAATGCTAAGCAGATGGAGGAAGTGCTCAAGAAAATGAGCGACTTGCACACCAAAATTGCCCAGGGAGGATCCCAGAAGGCTCGTGATAAACATATTGCTCGTGGGAAGATGCTGCCCAGAGACAGAGTGACCGCTCTCATTGACCCCGGCACCTCGTTCCTCGAGCTCTCCCCTCTGGCCGGCCACGAAGTCTACCCGGGTGACGATGTGCCCTCTGGCGGTATCATTACTGGAATTGGTATGGTCGAGGGCGTCAACTGCATGATTGTTGCCAACGACAGCACCGTCAAGGGTGGAACCTACTACCCGATCACCGTCAAGAAGCATCTGCGTGCCCAGGCAATTGCCCAGGAGAACAAGCTACCCTGCATTTACCTTGTTGACTCTGGCGGTGCCAACCTGCCTCACCAGGCTGACGTCTTCCCAGACAAAGAGCACTTTGGCCGTATCTTCTTCAACCAGGCTCGCATGAGCTCTCTCGGTATCCCCCAGATCTCAGTTGTTATGGGCCCATGTACTGCCGGTGGTGCCTACGTTCCCGCCATGAGCGACGAGTCTATCATCGTTGAGAACCAGGGAACTATCTTCCTTGCCGGACCACCACTGGTCAAGGCGGCTACCGGTGAAATCGTCTCCGCTGAAGACCTTGGAGGCGGTAAACTGCACTCTTCCATCTCCGGTGTGACCGATTACCTTGCTGTTGACGACGCCCACGCCCTGACCCTAGCCCGCCGCTCGATATCCAACCTGAACTGGCCCAAGACCACCTCCCCATTGACGCCCACTTCGACTTCCACCGAACCCATCAAGGAGCCCCTGTACCCTGCCTCCGAGCTGGCGGGGATAATGGGCACCAATCTCCGTCGCCAAGTAGACGCGCACGAAATCATCGCCCGTATCGTTGACGGATCTGAATTCTCCGAATTTAAACGCGACTACGGCACTACTCTCGTCACTGGCTTCGCACGTATCTACGGCACCCAGGTCGGAATCGTAGCTAACAATGGAATCCTCTTCTCTGAATCCTCACTCAAGGGCGCTCATTTCATCGAGCTATGCGCCCAACGAAACGTCCCCTTGCTCTTCCTGCAGAATATCTCCGGTTTCATGGTCGGAGCCGACGCCGAAAAGGGAGGTATTGCGAAGAACGGTGCCAAGCTGGTTACTGCTGTTGCTTGCGCGGACGTTCCCAAGTTCACTGTTGTGTATGGTGCCAGTGCTGGAGCAGGTAATTACGGAATGTGGTATGTGTCTTTTCCCTCTTTTTGTTTTTCATTTTCAGCCGTCGGCGCGTCTGAGACACCCTTGAGATTAAAATCTTATACTAACTATGTATGCATTGCAGTGGCCGTGCATATTCCCCCCGGTTCCTCTTCATGTGGCCTAATGCAAAGATCGGCGTCATGGGCTCTGAGCAGCTAACCAACGTTATGGCCGCGGTCGGCAAGAGCGTCGACCCCTCGCTGCGTGATCGTATCGACGCCGAGAGCGAGGCTGTCTTCTCCTCTGCTCGTCTCTGGGATGACGGCGTTATTCCTCCAGCCGACACTCGAAAAGTCCTGGGTCTATGTCTGGCTGCTTCCGTCGGCGGACGTGCGGAGGAAGCAAAGACCAAGTTCGGTGTTTTCAGAATGTGATCCCTGTTCCTAAGCTATCTAGTTCGTTATTTTTTTATACTCCTATTTTCCTTATCGTTTTTGGCTGAAGATAGGAAGGGATCATCCCCTGGGCAAAATATAGAATCATGTACAATTATCTACAGTTGCTCAGTGTACGGTTTGAGGTTGAATTCTGCTTGCCTGTTTTTATTGCTTGCTCCATATACATATCCCAGCATGACAAAATCTATTCCATAGATAATAGATATATAAGAAAAAAAAGGCAAAAAAAGTTTGAAAGACATTGTAACGATTTCGCGTCAGAAGGGATATCAAGTGAGACAGACAAGTTGATAGGTAAAAAAACGGAACAAGGACAAGGACAGGGTGTATAAGAACCGGTAATAAGGACGAAACGAAAAGGCAAGGAAAATATATATACACAGGATAATAAACAGAGTCCCGTACTTTTTTTTGCCTGTGATGGCTCGCTGGAATGAATGCTTTGCTGGAGTCAAGTCATGATTATATCGTGATAAAAGAAGGCCCTCTCTCTGCTCTTGTTCTCCTCCTTCTTTTCTCGTTCTTCCATCTTGACAAGGAACAAAAAAGGGAGGACGTAGGAAAATATCCAAGAAAGCAGATGGAAAGGAAATATAACAAAAGGGAAACTTTTCGGGGGGCGGTTGGTGGTAGTTTGTTTATAGAAACAGTAATATGTATATCACGAAATGAAGGGACGGAGTAGTGTAGTGTAGAATAGAAAGTAGAGGAAGAAGGATCGGTCCAGTAAGACAAGGTCGAAAGTAGACGGTAGAGAAGAGAGATCTTAAGAGACGTAGAGAAGAGAAAAAAAAGTAGTAGATAGATGATATCCAAAATAGAGGCGGAAACAAGGAAACACAAACCAAATGACAAACCAGTGATGCGGAAGGGGTATATTAAGGCGGACAAGACAAAACAAAGGACAGACGGACGAATCACTTGCAGGGAATATGGTTGATAAGAGGGGGTGGATGAGGCATGGAAGCAAACGAGCGAAGGTGACAACAAACGACGGAACGGGGGGGCGGTGACGGTCAAAGAATCACGCAGTCAGTCTTCATCTTCGTCCTCCTGGACCGATTCCGTCGCTTGTCTGCTGCACCGCTTGCCTCCTTCTTGCGGCTCCCTCCGTATTCTCGATCGCGGTCTTTATTAGATCGGATATCCTTCCGTATAATCTGTCGGCAGAGGTCTATGAACGCTTCGTCGACGTTCGCCCGTCTTCGCGCAGAAGTCTCGTAGTATGGCGCATTTCCCCACTGTTGGGATAGGGCGAAGGCGCGCGATCGTGAAACGGCACGGTCCTCCTCGAGATCTGACTTGTTACCGACGATGACGATGGGGACTTTCTCGTCGTCCTTGATACGGATGATCTGTTCCCGGAGCTCTTGCAGTTCATTAAGCGAGGACATGCTTGTTATGGAGAAGACGAGGAGGAAGCCTTCGCCTTGTTTCATATATAGTTCCCTAGAAACGGATGTGTCTTGTGAGCTGCTGCTGGTGTAGTAATTTTCGAGCATCGAGGGGTTGTTTTGAGGGGGTGTTAGGGAGGTTCGTTGCGTGTATCTGGGGTTGTTTGAGGTGTGTCAAGGATAGAGTTTCATGGAGATTGATTTACCTCATTGCGGCTATAATTCAGCTGTTAGTCTGGGGAAGCCCACGGTATTTCGGGTATTGAGGTGATAAGACTTACTGAATTGTTCCGTCCCAGCCGTATCCAATCTGCGGTCCACGAGTCAGCAATTGTGGTAGGGGCCCGTGAGTATTTGCTTCGAGAGTCAGATACGTACATTTCGAGAAGACATGGCCGTCCCTAAAAGCAGGATATTAGCGGGTATTCAGCGGAAGAAGCGGGTAAAAAAAAGTCGATACTCACATCTACCGCAAGAACCTTTCGATAGGAGTCTTCGATGGTTGGATCATAGCTCTCAATCCATATATTCTGTACGAACTGGGCTGAAGAAACAGTGAGACGGTGGCCCAGCGCAAAATAAACAGGCAAACAAGCCCAGATGGGCTGTCTGAACTGGCAGCTCTTACCGGTCAAGCAGCTCTTCCCAACACCACCTGCAGGTGCAAAATGTGATCAGCAAACGTGTCCCTCCTCTCCCCGTATCATCATTATCATCATCAAGGGAGGATATAGTCTAGTATTGTAGAAAGGAAGAATAAAAGACCAGACGAGGAGGTCCTACCGGCGCCCAGCACAACGATGTGATATTCCCGCCTGACATTCCGAAGACGAAAGTTAGCCACGAAGTTCGCCGGAAAGGCAGAGAAGGAGTGTTTGCGCGGAGATTCCAGAGAAGCGCGCAGATACGGCAGAGCCATTCTGGGCCTAAGGAAAAGCAAAGAAAGGGGGCCAGGAAAAAAAAAGGGACGGCGGGAGGTGGGAGGGAGGGAGTAAGGGAGAAGCAATGCAAAGCAGGAGGAAGAGAAAAAAGGGCCATACCGTGGCTGACTCTTCGATGCCATCTGAAAGGGCAAGCTTCGAGCTGTTTTTAATTAATAGGAACGAGGAGGGAGGTAGGTAGAGGTTTTTTTCCTGGAGAGGACGCGGCGTGGTGGATCGATGCTAAGTAAGAGAGCCGGGGCAAGCAGTAGCTCAGGCGCTTCGACGGACAGGGAAGACGAAAAGAAAAGAAGGGGAAGAAAGGTGTGAAGAAGGAGAATAAGAAGAAGAAGTAGTAGAGCAGTAGAAGTGGTGATGTCTTTTAATGCTGTCTCGTCCTGCCGTCGGTCCTGGGGAGGGGGGTGGAAGGCCGCAGGAAGGAGGAAGGGTTCGCCGTAGCACAACCGCGAGTCAGCAGCAGCAGCAGCAACGGCCACGAACGCTGCCAGCCAGGAGGCCGAGCAAGGTGACAGATAATAATTATCGGACGAGGCAGCAGAGGGAGAAGCCAAAGGTCAAGCAAGGTCAAGGTCGACGAGGCCAATTTCCCTCCCCCCGAAACAGCCGGACAGTTTTGGCAGGTCGAGCGGGCAAGGGGGAGCGAGATGCCTGTCGACGGAGGGAAAAGAAAAGAAAAGGAGGAAGAAAGTGGCCAGGAAGACGTAGCAGCAGCAGCAGCAGCAGATGAAGAAGCAGATGGTAGGTACTCCGTAGAAGGGCTGCCCCAGCTCAACGGCGAGCTCAGTCGACCGGAGCACAGGGAGGACTCGAGTCGACGGCGACGGACAGTCAGGAGTCAAGAGTCAAGACGTCTTCTTGTTGCTGCTGTTGTTATAGCTGTGTCTGCTGTGACGAGCATGCGCGTGTAGGTTCTCCAACTCCCGTCGGGCTTCTGGTTGTTTCTGGTCTCCAGCTGCTGGCTCTAGGGGTTCGACGGTGAGGAATCACTGAAGATCGAGGGCGGCGGACGGGGATCGTAGGGATGGCTAAGGCGTTTCAGCGACGGACAGCCTGTTCGATGGCCTGACACTCTTATCTGTCTCTGCAGCGTCTCTCTGTCTCTTCTGTCTCTTTTGCACCAAGGATCGTCCTTGTGTCTGTCTTTCTGTCGTTCGTGAGAGCAAGAAAGGAGAAGTCGAAGAAAGCTCTTTTAGTTAAATTACCTAAGAAGGTTAACCGTCAGGCGGGAACTAGCAAGACGACGATGAAGACGACGACGACGAAGACGATGATGATAACCACGAAGCAGAAGAAACAGACGACGAGGACGAAGAGGATGGGATGAGATGCTGATTCTGTCTATCTGTCTATCTATGTATAACTCGTAACTGTCTATCTCCAGCAGCGGCCGAGGCAGAGATCTTCGACCTCCAACGGCCGCTCTGGCTCCTGGTCGAGATCACAGCTCACGACTCAGCAGCACCACCACCAGCACCACCACCAGCTAAGGATAGGACAGGATCAGGGACTCTGTTCGTCTCTCTAGCCTGCCCGTCCGTCTTTCCATTACCCCGGCACCGGCTCCCTTCTGGGCGTCGTATTGGCGGCCGTCATCACGCTATACAAGCCCGTCGAGCAGATCACCACCGCTAAGTGATGGGCCCCCCCAGTTGACGCTGGGCCAACCGCCCTGCGGCGCTCACTCGAGAGCTCGAACTAGCTAGCTAGGCCCGGGGAACCCTCGTCTTGTCGGGGAGGAGGGCCACCGGCTTGAAAACAAGAAAAAGAAAGGAAGAAACGACAAGCCCGGAGTGAGCGATGTACTGTGTATGTATATACATACTTATATGTATAAGAAGTAAGGTAAGTAAGTGTAAGTATATATAAAATGGACCGGGCACGAACCATGCAGACCAGATTGCGATGGGATGCATCAGAGATAGCTCCGTACAGGCCTAGCTATCGCTATCGAACCAGTCAGCGGAGACAGGTCGAGTCTGTACGGCGATGTATTGGATCTTACTGGACCAGAAGATCCCTGTGCTCGTGAAAATGACGCTGTCGAAAGTGGCGCCATTCCAGCAGTCGGTATCATGATAGATGGCGATGATGATATACGGGAAAATGCGCCAGTCTAGCTCGCATAGTCCACAAAGCAGGTGTCGCCTGCTGGCCCGTCGAACTGCTCGGTCAGCTTGGCAGGCGCCGTCCGTGTCTGGCTGCTCAGCGCCTTAAAGACGTGCGGGAACACCAGCTCGTCCACGTCCCGAGCCCACAGGAAGTCAAGGTGCTCGTAGTGCGCAATCTCCGTCGCCGTGGTGTGCGTGGGCAGCTCCTCCAGCATCACGTCGATGTCTATCAGGCTGTCGGATCCGCCGTAGACCAGCACGATAGGCGTCTTGATGTTCTTCGTCGGGAACTTAGCCGGCTTGTAGAAGCGTGATTTAGCTGCCAGGCTCAGCATCGACCCGGCGTCGTCGTCGTACATCTGGAAACTCTTGTTGCGGATGATCTGAAACCAGTGCACGACGGACTTGGTGCTCGTGGACGAGTACAGGTGTACGTACGCAGCCAGCTTCTGCACCATGCTGATGTTCTTGCCGCTCCAGTTGAACAGGAACGACAAGGCTGTGTCGATGATACGCACGAAGATGGGCGGGTACAGGATAGCCTGCCACATGGCCGTCGAGCTAAGGATGCTCCGTCGTCCAAAGGTAAGAAACATCACATCCGGAGACGCCTTCACCAATGCGTCCACCACCCCGTTGCTCAGCCCGGCTGGAGACATGGCCGGTGCCAGGGCTATGAACAGGTTGACCTGTCGGTTCAGTGTCGGGTGGATGGACAGCGTTGCAAACGCCTGTGCCGTCCCCTGAGAGAATCCAATATACGATAACGACGGCTGGCCCGTTACCGAAAGGATGTAGTCGATACTGTCCGGAATATCGTGAAACGCAAACTGGTCGATGGAGAAGTTCCAGAATGCACTATACGAGGGAGACATCGTCGTCGACTTCTTCGAGTACTTGTTACCCCGGTTATTCCCCAGCCAGACATCATACCCCAGCTCTGCCAACCGGAAAGGAAGACATCTCTTCTCTTCCGTCAGACACACCCACACCTCGCTGCTCATCATCAGCCCGTGATGCAGGTACACGACCGGCTTCCGGGGTGCCTCGTTGTCCACATCGTTACCGCTCATATAACCATTCGTCTCCCCCTTCCGCCATGGAAGCCTATGCAGTCCCAGCAGGTAGCCGTCTTTTGTCTGGACGACGTGCTCCTCCGTCTCATAGCCAAAGAGATCACAAAGCTCCGTAAACTCCGAAGCCTTTGCGATCTCTGCAGATATGCTATCTTGCTTGACACGTTTAGGCTGTGCTGCAGACAGAACATGGAACAGCCTCTTCGACTGTCGATAGCAGAGGTTTATAATAGGCTGAGCTAACTTCATAGTCAGCAACTCTCCATCATAGACACAATTAAGGGGTCGTATATATCTCAGTATATAACTTACGGAGACAGGTGGTAATGACATGGATGATCCCTTCAAGAAATACCAGTCCCAACGAAATAAACAGGGCAATATACTCCGTCCTATCAACCTCAGTCAGCATGCAGTACCTTGTAGGTGTATCTTTGTAACTTCTTCCTGCCATCGCCCCCTGGCTTACCATAGAAGACGGCCAATGAACGGAACGCGTGCCATCGTGAACCACAACCACAAAACCACCCGGGAAAACACAGGAACAGAAGCAGAACCCCCTGGTCGTCTTTAACCCTGGCAAGCCACCATCGGCCTCTTTTTCTTCTTCTCTTCTTCGCCTTCTCTTCGCTTCTCCTTCGTCGCTTCTTCGTCCTTTTTTATATCTTCGACTTTCAGCTTTTCGCATGTGAAAAACAAACCTTACGTCATCGAAGCACGGGCTTTTGCTTAGTCAGATCACGGGACAAAGTCTAGCCTCTAACCCAATCAGGATGAAGCTTTTGATATCAAAAAAGTAAAGCAGCAGCGAAGAAAAAGGCAGCGACGAGCGAGAAAGACGAAGATATACCTAGGTAGATAGCTGTGAGCAGCCGTCCGTTATAGAGCAGGGAAAGGGGGACGAACACACAACTGCCGCAATGCCGAGTTCGTGTAAAGACCTGCGTACGTTGGACCCGACACCCGGTTTGCTTGTGGCTCGGTCATGAGCGCTTCTCATGGCTGCACCATATGACAAGACCCCTTCGCATATGACATTGGCCCGTTGAACACTGAACCTCTTACAGAGGAGAGGAGAGCCTGCTAACAGATGCAATAGGCCAGGCACTGGCCGAATGTCTCCAGGAATCAGACTGCATCATGGTCCAGCGGAACACACCCCAGGACTGTCTGCGTTCCCCCAACCTCGAGCAATTGCCTATCAAATGTCAGCAGCTGAAGAAAGGTCTCAGCGAATGCAAGTACGGCTAAAACCGACCTTCCACAACCCCCAATCCTTCGCTTGAACAAGGGGCTAATCATATGCCAGGCGAGGAATGGTAGACATGCGCAAACGGTTCCGCGGAAACCAGCCGTTCCAGCTCGCCAAGGAGACAGATAGCGCTACTGGCGAGGTCGTCGAGAAGAAACAGCCGGTTCCCCAGCTCTACGCTGGTCGGCCGGCGTACCAGGGCGTTAAGCAGATAAATGGTGATGAAGTGCAGATGGACCCTGAGAAGACAAGGGGTTTGTAAGAAGTTGATCTTGTGATATGTGGGTATAGTATGGATGCTCTTCTATACCTATTTCTGCAGTGTGGGGGTCGTTAGACCTGCACACTTATTTATTTTTGCTCTGAAGCATTAGGGAACATTGATGAGCATGGCGTTTATGATTTTGGGCTATAAATGTACAATACTGAACATCAATTATCAAGAAACTAGACTCCACAGATATATATAATTGTAAAAAAAATTCACGACTCTTGAGGAAAGTTTTATCGTCACTTTTTCATGTATAATACAAGTAGCCAGTTCATCCACTTGTCAAGAATGGTAAGAAGAGCTGAAGAAAGAGAGAGATACCCATTCCCAATGCTGCATTTATTGATATTTTATTTATCCCATTAGATCTTGATTTGAATGCCCAATTCTATTGCTCCTTTTTAGCAGCGCTGCTTTTCATTGGTGGTGCAGAATATAGCCAGACCATCACAAAGGCGAGGAACCCCCCGATAACAGACCAGAGACCGGCAATCCAGACCCATCCACCGCTGATGCGCCAACTGCGTGGCCACTCATCGTGGGCAAAATGGCGGACGGTAACTTCGTGTTTCTCTTCAATGTTAGTGATGAAAGGCCGCTTGTAGTTGACGCGGAAGGAGAAGATGCCATGCTGATCGGGAAGAGTGAAAGAGGTTCTGTAGATGGCGGTGTGCTCTGTTCTGTCCACGGGCTGCAGGTTAAGGCGGTGGAATGGGGATAGCATGGTGAATTCAAGCTGGACTGCATCCTCTTCTGGGGTCCAGTAGGGTATCCATTGGTCGTAGCTGAATTCTGACAGCTCAATGGTGAATGTCTAATATTGTATCGTTAGTGTAAAATAACCAAACTGGAGGAAGAGATATACTAACCACATCGTTTTTGATACGGTAGATAGACGGGTTAAGCTCCTTGGGTCCGGACTCAATATCACTCTTCTCGTTCAAGTGATGTTCAACACGAGTAACCTTCACTACACCCGTCTCCTGGAAGGTCCAGGCGGTAAGCTGTTGGGCAAACTGCTTGTTGGCGGTCTCTACTTTCTCGCCCTTAGGCGCTTGTACCTTGGCATTGAACCATTCGTCTTTCAAACTATCAACTGATCCAAGGACTGTGACTCTCGCTGAGTTCCTTGCCTGCATAGCAGTGGCTAAAGCCAGCTGCGAACCAGTTGGAAGCTTCTGATCGATCGATTGATCGTCATCTCTCTTGTCATAGCTATAAGCTGTGGCGGGGGCTCGAATGATAGGAGCTAGTAGGGGGCTGTCGTTTCCTAGGGACTGTCCAGCAACGTTTGGAAGGGCGATGATACCCTCTCCATTGAAGAAGGGCTTGGTATCAGGACGTAGTCTGTCCGGACGTGGTAGAAGGAGAACGTTATGTTTCTCCGTGGAAGAGATGGTATCATAGTTGAAGTGGTCGACAACGATTGGAGCTCTGTCCGGAGAGAGATGTATGTCGAGTTCGAGGAGGAGAGAGCTGACTCCGTTGGGTGTAGGAGCACCGCCGGACAGCGCAACTAGAATGTTTCCATTGTCATTGACAAAGTCTAGCAGTGCCTTTGGCGTCAAGGCAGGTCCAAGGCCTATATATTCACATTAGCATGATGCCACCCGTACCCATGCCCCGTGTTTTCCGAATGTCATGCTGCACCTTTAGATCTTGGCGGGAGAAGTATGAGATGGTCGTAAGCACGAGCTCCTAGGTGGTAGAGAGAGAGCTTGGTGTTCTTCGGCGATTCGAATGTAAGTTTGTATCCTCGACCTAGCAAGATGCATGCCTGTTAGCCATACTGCGGCCTACAATAGACGAGAAGCAGGGTTACATATTAATATATGCAACAGAAAGACTAACTTTCCAGGTCTGCCCAGAAGACCGAAAATAGATCTCGTTCAGTCTCGTCCTCCTGGATAACAAGAAGCCTGTCTCCAGTACTGCTTGCGGCATGCACTACTGCGCTGTAGATACTCAGGCATAGAAAGGTAAGCAGCCACTTCATCGTGGAGCTTGCGTATGGTGCTGCGATAGAACAAGAGGGGACGGACGCGAATTGGTCGCTTTTGGAGGCAGGCAATGATAGAAAAACAGCTTTCAACAAAGACCTTTATGCGACAATGGCCTGAGTATCATCGCGATCCCCGAGTCGTTAGGCAAAAGAAGGTCGTGAGAGCTGTTCGTCGGCGCATCCAAATGGTGGTGGTGGTTAGATCGTTAGTTTGCCTAAAGCCGTCGAAAAAGAGACCAGCGTGTTAATCAGCGAGAGGAAGCGCCAAGACTAGGAAAAGCGCAGGCCAACCACAAACGGCGAAAAGCAACATCAGAAAAGCAGAAACAGGAACAAGCACACGACAGAACAGCACTTGAACGCTGGCAGATAGCTCGATAGACGCGTTTGTTGAGCTGAAGGTCGATTTGACGAACGAGATACACCGTTATACGAGTCAATTGGGACATCTTTCCGCTTGCTGAACCGACGCTTCCTCACCTTCCGCTGTTCGAAAGCTATCCACCATGTCGAGGCCCTTCTTCTTTTCCCAGCCATTCCGCTACATGCGATGGGCTTCATACGAAAAGCCAGCTATCTTCTACTCTATCGTCCTTGGCTCTCTCGGCCCTGTAGCGCTCTTCGCTCTGCCCCCAATCAGACGGTACTTCGGCGACGTTGACCCCGCGGAAATCCCTTTCTCATATCCAGGTACGTTCCCAGCTCCTCTATATTTTAACGGGATTGATTACTGACCTATACACTCCATTTCCTACTGATAGTTCCCGCTGGTCCAAGAAAGATACCTCAAGGATACGATGACGAGTAGATGCGGATGGAAGGAGGCCAAAATATAGAATTTCCCTCGCGGCTTGAGTTGCGACTTATCCACACCATTTCAGAATTCAGTTTATTCTTTCTACCCGAGTGCTTCGATATTTTCACCCCAGTACGGCTATAAAATCGAGAAAACTACGTTGACGGGTCCCGGACCGGGCCCGCGGATATCGTTGAGTCGAACGACAACATAATTGTATGGATGGAAAGAAGAATTATGGTACTTGCCGCATGACAACTGCGTTCCTCTTTTTCGCCATCCCTTTTTTATACTACCCTTTTGTACATATGTCATATTAGCGGCCATTTAATTGGTTCTCCGGTTCCATTCCATGATTCCCCGGCATAATTGATATATAACAGTCACCGTTAAATGGTCAATCAGGGCTATTCGGGATATGAAAAGAGAAAATATAAAATATCTACGCATGCTCAGCTAGCAGATGTGTGTATGCACGAGAGTGAAGGTAAGAAATATTGATGAGACATTTATTTGAATAATACGTGGTAATTGAACGAACGCCCTCCTATGCAACTATCTAAAATAGAAGTATTATCATGACCACGATCTGGTTTTCCTCTGCACAACCGCAGCGATGTAAAGGGCAAAAAGGTTCAAAAACACAATATAATCTCGGCATCGAAAAGACCAGAGCAGTTTATCGGGACGAATGTTATCAGGGGGTATGTATGTGGCCCGGCGTTGTGCATTGCGTAAAGATGATTGTGATTTGGTATGAGCGGAAAGGGCGAAAAGGTCCAATTATTGAAGAGTATTCACCAGACAGTATCGAACAATAAAACAACAGCACGTTGAAAACGAGAGAGCATATTGAAAAAAAAAGAAAGGGAATCCTAAATGCATCCATCGAGAACGCGTCCAACTATACATTTAAACACTGGCATGGAAGTTTGGAAGAGGTGAGCGAAGCCTAGAAAGGTGAAAATGTCGCAAGAATAAAGAGACACGGTGGAGGAAAATGGTTTCAAAACAGCCTGCCCAGTCTTACGTGTAACGTCCTTGATGGTGGAACTAAAAGGATGGGAAAGGAACATAAAATATAAAGGAGGAAGGGTAGAGTAGGTGTTGGAGAGGAGAATAATGGCCTAGATGTGAATTCCAGGGTAGTTCTGAGGTGATTCCATGGGACATTGAAGCATCGGTAGGCTTAGTTGTATGCAAATATGAGAAAAAAAATAAAGCTTGATTTCAAATGAAATCGATCAAGTATCCATCCATGCTTAGAGTAGCAGATTCCAGTGGGGAAAGTGGGCTCCCAGGTAGGAGTGTCCCGATATCATCATTCATTCATTCGTTCACTCATTTGTAGTCCAGATAAAACAAAACACATCCAAAATCCAGCCACTGTAGTTTAGTGGGGAATAAGATCGACTATATAGGGTTGATTATCCACATAACAAGAAGTATTGTCCGGCGATGTAATGTGAAAAACGGTAGCCGAAGAGGTTGGTTCAAACAAATGTGGAAGAATACATGCCCTAGAATAAAGGGGTGATATTGTGGTGTTATGCATCTAGTGACGGGGGGCAGGATTCCTAGGATGTCCTCGGTCTGGTTGGCGGTCCTGGTAGGCAGATTCCACTGGATATCCGGTCTCCATTATTCTTGGGTCTGGTCCGGTTGATGGAGGGTATGGAGATGTAGACTGGCCAACAGGGGAATAATCACGGTCATTCTCATATCCTTGTCCAGAGTAGCGAGGCTGGGATATTCCCCCAGGGTAGGCATAGGCACCCTGACTATGGATATATGACTGTTCAGCCGTTGTTACAGGTGGAGTTGACTGTGTTGAGTAGGGTGGTCCACCGCTGGGGACGTAAGAGCTACCCTCTTGCGAATATCCAGGCTGATTACCATAGTCTTGATAGTTTGGCTGTGACTGATGGGCAGGGTATGATTGGGAAGGTGGGTAAGTAGAATATGACGGCTGCTGTGATTGCTGTGGGCGCGAGGGCGGGTATGCTACTGGTGGTCGAGGTCGGGCGGAAGAGTCATAATTTGCTGGTGACCTGTTAGGCACTGATGGGGTATTATAAGTATCATAGTAGGTACCTCTAGGCTGTCCGCCTTCTTGTCTGCTACGGACTTCGACATCCCAACGCCTAGAATCTGCTTTCAGATCTGCAATCATTTCCTGTTTCACTCACGTGGTTAGAATGGTGACTAGTCAGTAAATATCAAGGGAAGAAGACCGCTTACAGTCGTCAAATTTCGGTAGGCACGGATGAAGTATCCCGGACGTCCCTGTTATCTAGTCAGTAACTTCAGTCCTGGGTCCAGGTGTATAGAGGTGTAAAAGGATATCTCAGGAAAAATTTGAAAAAAAAAAGGGAAAAGGGAAAGGGAGTCCGACCTGGTGAGTTCCGGGCCTCACGAGGGCATCCCGTCCAAGGTAACGGCAAATATCTGCTTGGATAACCTCACGGCTGATACCATCTTGATCGATAAAATATTCATTGAGTCGTGTCTGAGGCTCCGGATCATCATATCTTATGGGTTGTCGCTGTGCCATTTTTATTTCCAGGGTATAAGAAGAAAACAAAGAAAGAGAAGTCAGTTAGAAATCCGGGGTTCCACGGCTGGAAGGAGAGAAAGAAGTAGTCCTAGTCCCGGTGGTATGATGTACAGATATCCCAAGAATATGTCTCCGGAGATCTGAAGCCGGCCGAAGATGATGTATCTAGAAGAGGTATAATGTTCCCTGGTGATTTACAAAGGGGGATCCAGGTAAGAACAATAAATAAGAGGAACAGTGAAATGAAAAGAAACCCTCTGGGAAGAGAAAGGAGAAGTAGCAAATAGGAAAGGAAAAAAAATCAAGTGACACAGGGAGCAAATCCTAGAGGGCTGGTAGATCAATATGTCCTTTGGGTTATTTATTATTTGGTTCTCAGGCAGAAAGCTACCACGTCTTCAGCGATCTTTTGGCACTTGACAGTGACGACTTCTGTTGCGATCTTTGTTTGATTTGTGTATGTGTCTTTTGCTCTTCTGTATTTTCCCTAGGAGAGAGGGATAATATATGTGTGTAAACCTGGATGCAGGGGGAGGAGTCCTTGGGAACGTATCCAAATGGCGGATGTGACAGTCCTGTTTTTATTGGGGTCCAAAATAATAATATACCCACAACAATACCAGAAGCCGTGTGCAACTGCTCCTCAAAAGGTATGGTAATGTAGTAGTATTGGAAGAAGAGATTTTGTCTATGGCTGAAACAGAAGTAATCCCAGATGGAGTGTGGCAGGGGGAGAGTCCGACGGGAAGCCTGCTGGTTCACTGTTGGCAATATGGTATTTGAGAGACCGTTGGAGGGTGGAAAAAAGCCGGATGTAGTAGTAATAGTGGTGGTCCTTGGTCAGCAGAACGACTTGTCGCCTCTTGCGATGCAGCAGAGATACAGCAGGGTGACGATAGTGAGCAGCGCGCGAGCGTCGAGACAGATACTGAGCTGGAGGTTTGCAGTCGAAAGAGACGAAGCTGAGCAAGAGGCGGAGGAAAGGGAAGAAGAAGAAGGAGAAGAAGGAGAAAAGAAGAAAAAGACGAAGGAAGAAGGAAAAAAGGCGCCAGGAGGGGCAAACAGTGGGTCGGCGGAGCAGGCGCGGTGATTGGCTGAAGGCTGGATTGGGTATGTTTGCTTGGGCTGGACAAGACAAGGACAGAGAGAGAGAGAGAGACAGTAGCAAAGAAGAAGACAAGAGACGAAGAGACGAAGAGGCGAGCTAAGCGGGAAGAAAGGGAGACGGCTGAGGAGAGCTGCCGGACAGGTTGGCTACATGAGGTGACAGAAGGTGAGTGGTTACGGGTAGCTAACCACGGTTCACGGACGTGTTACTAACACAACTACAAGACAGGAGCAGAGCAACAAACTCTACGGACGACGGCTGTTTGGACGAGGAGATCGGACAAGGACTTGCTTGCCATCTGACAGACTTATTCCAGGCCGAGATCAACGCCTGAGGAGCCTGTCTGGCCCCCCCGAACTTCCCTGAAAATTTTCAGTCTTAATGGCGTCCTACCATGGCTGCTGGAGAGGGCAGGTTGATTGGGCGCGGTGTTGCCGCTGCTCTGTTAGGCACTCATGCAGCTCTCCCTTGGGCACTCACCCAACCCTCCCACACCTCCGTTGATGATACGCACCAGGGACGGCCAGGGAGCAAGCGTTGCCCACTCACGCTCGGTTCTGAAGCCCTAGGTTCTTCTATGGCTCCCTGCATCCAGCAGATTCTCCCTCTCAGCCGCTTCGTGCAGCCCTGTCAGACAATAATAAAACCTTCCCTCAGACAGACCCTGCTCAAGTGTCAACTGCCAATAATAGCCAGACTGGACGAAGTTTTCCTAGCATCTCTCTCCACCCTGGCAGGCTACTTTTTTGCTGCAGGGAGGGCTTAACATAGTACCATTCTACTGGATTTTCTAACTTTGAAAGATCACAGCACACACTCTGATGTCGCACCTATTGATTTTTTTTTTCGCTGGAAAGAGAAGCTCCATAATACCCTTTTTTTCGATGAAATATGTGAGCCTCAAGCCGCATTTTCAATAACGTATATGTGATGTCGTTAATTATCGCGTGGCTGGTTTGGGGTTCTTGGCCCAGTTCAAAATGATCTCGGAGCGTTACAGATGGCTGGAAATTCCTTTTTCAACCCGCGAACGAGCCATCAATAATAACTAATGAATGGGAAAAAAAAGGAATAGTTAGATCGGATTCTCCGACTCGTCAGATCTATGTGGAACACCCCTTGATATATAGGTAAATTTTCCAGGACAAAAGGATGGCTAAGAGAGAACATTTCCATCCTCTATACGATTACGGAAGGCAAGTTTAAAAAGGCGGTGGGTGATGACTGGTATACATTTCCCCAGTGTCATGTTAGCGAATCACCACAAGTTAGCTAACCAGAAGGAAGAGCAAATGTGCCCAAATATCCCAAACTAACGTTATGTATATCACATGGAGCTCGAACGTCTTACAGCTTTGTCTGCTGCACGTGAGCTGCTGAGACGACTTTGAAATTAATTCGCGGAAAGTGAATCCGGATATCAAGCTGGTTATCTTCCGTCTTTCGTTGCAGCACGATCTCCTTAGAATTCAACCCAATAAGGGTCCCTGCATCCCGATGAGTTGATCCTGAATCAGTGGGCCAGACCAACACTTCCTCGCCCTTCTGAAGCCCAAGTGGATCGGAGTCATCAAATTCGGCCTCGCTTTCAGCAAACGACTCATACCGGAGACCCTCAAGCACATCGCTGCCAGACACTATGGTCTCCTTCATCTTTGCCTCTGCGTCGGACAGAGCTTGTCTGAATCTGGACCTCCAAGCAAATACTTTGGGATGGCTGACTTCTAGAGATGATGCTCTCCAAGTATCCCATGTCAAGA